ATTATCAAGAAATGAGTTTATTGCTTCTAAATCGCTCAGTTTGTTAATCAGTCACAGATTGATTATAATAGAAAGACAGATAGAACGCATTACATTAAAAGTTAAAAAAATTTAAAAGTGCTTCTCATAGACTTTTGTAATATAGAAAAGTCAAAATCGAATGCTATTTATCGTACCTAGGTTGGGGAAAACTATAGCGCGTGTGTTTACAACGCTTTTATTTGCAGATAATATTGTTCAGTATTTCTGTTTTAGTTCACTATTAGTCAAAAATAACTTGTTAAATGCAGATGAAATTCAAAAGTTCAAAATGAATATCAAAATTAATGTTAACTGTCCACATAAGTCAAATTTTTGGTGACTTGATTTTTTTTTCTCTTTCCTTTAAGTCCGGTTTATTCGAAGTGTTACCGTACCATATGGCATGTAAACTAAATGCTATGGCATTCGACTAAAAACACTCCATTTTGACAACATGCAGTTTTTAAGTTTCTTCGGATATGGAAAACAATCAAACATGCTTCCAACCGTTAAAAAATAATTTTCGATGTGGAATCATAGGGGGTGTCTCACTGTAAATGGAATGATATTTAAATAAAAAGAAAATCTCTCATAAATATTTTCGTCTTCTTTTGACGAAAAGTCTGCAATAGAATTTTGGTTAAAGTGGCAGAATCACCCACTGCTTGACGCGTTTTTAAGAATTGCACATACTCGGTATCCATGTACACATCGACCTATTTTCACTTAAAAAAAAAAAAAAAAAAATCCCAGAATTGCACAAAAATGGCACTGCGCACACCCTTGACTTTATCTATGTACACGTCAACCTATTTTCGCCTAAAAAGTGAAACAAAATTAACAAAAATCCAATTGTTTTTACCCTTGTAAAAAGCGGCAAAAAAATAAGTGGGCGATTCTGCACTTTACCGAGAATTTTTTTCAAAGAAAAGGCATCATTCATTATAGAAAATTATCTTTGAACAACCAACGAGATGAAACTATGCTTTAGCGATAACTCGGTAGCGAAATAGCGATGCAGGTATCCATTCAGTTATGTTTAGCAATTTTTATATAAATTATAATAATGATCTGAAATAATTATTTACTCTTATGCTTCCATTCAGTCATGTTTAGCCTTTTTCGTATAAATTATAATAATAAAAAAGTATTATATGAAATTAACCATTTCTAATTTTACAAATATGTGTTATGTTATTTTTTCCCTTGAATTCTTCAACTAAACTGTATTGTAAATATTTTGGCGATTATTTTTGCGTTTCGAATTTTTCGCCAGATCATCTGCTTTTGGCGATATCTGAATCCGGTCCCGATAACCAAACAGTACCAGATATTATGTAACATTAAATTGCAGCATTGAGAATTGGCTGTCTGGGTAGATGATAAACGAAGGAATCATAGAATGGCAATATTTCCTAAGTAACATGAGGGATGAATAATATAATAATATAATTTAATGAAATACAGTGGCAATAAAAAATGGGAAGATTAGGTTATAGATATTTCGGTACTATTCCGTTACAGCGGCGTCAATTAAAAATGAAGAAAAATGAGAATAAAGCAGTGCTACAATAACAAGCCAAATATCGAAGCTCCAGATTTCCAGTTTTCGTTTGAAATATATATATACGTTATTTTTATTTATTTATTTATTTATTTTGCCATATCTCGTAATTTTTTTACTACGATGGACTACACAATTTGGAAATTACCTAATGACGAAGAGACTGCCGTAAGATTCCTTCAGGACAAAGGAATAATTCATACCAATTGACTTTGTTCTCAAAATCATTCGATGAATTTAACTTTTGACTCAAACAAAGCTCCTATATAGCGTTGTTACGCACTTTCTTGCAGTGAAAACAAAAAAGGATTGAGAATCAAAACATGGTTTGAAGGATCGAGTCTGTCTTTCCTCAGTGCCGTTCATTCTGTCTATCTGCGGTGTCAGGAATTGACGTCGATTGAATTTTGCCAACTTTAGTTGGAAATCACCCATAATAGGACAGTACATTAGAGGAACTACTTGAGGGAGGTATGCGCAAATGCTTTGATGTCTCGTAAAAGAAATAAAATCGGCGGAGCCAACAAAAACATAGAAATCGAAGAAAGCCGTTTCACAAAAATTAAAAAATCTGATGTGTATACACCACATGACTTCCTTGTACGGAATATTAAATTATACGCATTTTTTCTTGCATTTCATTTAAACTTATTGGATTGAATTAAATCTACTTCGCCGAGAGCCCATAAACCACAATAGAATAAAGGCATTCTTTAAAATTCACTTTATTTGTTTACCATAGCGACACTCTGGCGCTTGGTTCACTTAACAGTATTATATTTCTTCATATTATAACTCAGAATGCACAAAATTGATATCATTTAAAGAATTATCTAATCATTGCCACAAGTTTTGTTCAAATACTATAATAAAGCTAGAACGATGTATAAAAGAAATTAAGCAAACAAAACAAAAAAGGACCAGTTTTTCACAGACGATTGAGTATTTCTCATTCAATTAATTCAGTTCTCACTTCGCGAGAAGGCAAATATACATAAAAACTCAAAATATCTGTATTAAAAATTACGAAGTAAATCTTAAACACTTATTTCCCAAAAAAAATTCCAGAAAGGATTAAGCATGATTTAATTCGCAATAATAAATGAAGGCGTTATCTTTGTTGTTGCGAAGCTACGTTTCTCTAGATTGGCAACAAATCCACTACTCTGCTATTTCAAATGTAAACAAGCAATGGCCACCATCAAAAAAATGATTAGGCTCAGCAGCAGTTAAACAACTTCAAAATTGCTGATAATTCTAAAAACATTGCATACAGATTTACTAAACGCATAAAAACCTTAACCGGAAGATAAGAACAACATAATTCAATCATTTTTAAAGCAAAAAATGTACAATTTACAAACATATAAGAGTAAAGAAACCGAGATCACTGAGCCGGGTAACAGAGTGGATATATATAAATATATTTATATACGTTTGGTGCGGCCGATTGCAACCAAAATACGAGGTGCACATCTACATGTTACAGCAGACCTATATAAAAAATTTCAACGTTCTGAGGCTACTCGTTTTTGAGTTATGCGAGATACGTACATACGTTCGTACAGACGCCACGAAAAATTCTCTTCAGAATTCATTTTAAAGCAGTTTTATAATTTTTTTGGAGGAAAAGAGTCTTTTATTCTTTCCTTACGTACAGATATCACGCAAAAACATTGCTTTCGATAGCGGTGAAAATGGATATTTTCGTTAAAATATGCTGCCTGAAACTTTTCGCGATTACAATACTTCCTTTTTACTTCGTATAAGGAAGTAAAAACAACATCGGCTATGTTCTTCCGGATTAATGAGTATTCAGGCGGGAAAGCAAAGAATGTTTTCTGGTCGCCGTTCCCGATCGTCGTGCTACAACATTGATGACTGCCTTTCAGGAAAACATCGCGGATGGTAGTATAATATTTTCAGTTTGCTAGAAAGGATATAAGAAAAAGAAATTAAGATAAAAGAAATGCTGAACATTTCACTGTGAATCGCTGTTATAATTTTGTAGACCCCCAAACAGGTTGCCATATCCAAACTGTGGAGCGACTGTGGGTCAGTGCTAAATGGTTTTGGTTTGGTTTATTAGATTACGGAAAAGCACTCGAGGGCTATCTGCCTTAAGGGAGGAACGCTTTCCTGGAGGACTTTTTAAGGGTAACTGGCTCGTATACATGTTAAACATGGGGAAAACCACGAAAACACCCATGCAGCCATCCCGTTCGCGGGATTCGAACCTCGGACCGAACTACCAGTGTTCAGCGACGTTACTGCTCGGCCGCTGGTGGGCCAGTGCTAAATGGAGAAATAAATTTCAGCGAGGCACTGCTCGTCACCATTTAGAGTTAGTTATATTTGATAGAATTTATGCGGTGTCGGTTATATTCAAAAACTGAATTTGTCTTCTATAATATTGAATGATTATTTGTAATTTTAATCCACCTGTTTAGATTGAAATTCCTTTTATTTTATTATTTTTAATTTATGCGTAGAATATTCTTTATGCCACTTGTTTAGATTAAATTTCCTTTTGTTATTTTTTATTTATGTGTAGATTATTCTTTATGCCACTTGTTTAGATTAAATTTCCTTTTGGTATTTTTTATTTATGTGTAGAATATTCTTTATGCCACTTGTTTAGATTAAATTTCCTTTTGTTATTTTTTATTTATGTGTAGAATATTCTTTATGCCACTTGTTTAGATTAAATTTCCTTTCGTTATTTTTTATTTATGCGTAGAATATTCTTTATGCACTTGTTTAGATTAAATTTCCTTTTGTTATTTTTTATTTATGTGTAGAATATTCTTTATGCCACTTGTTTAGATTAAATTTCCTTTTGTTATTTTTTATTTATGTGTAGAATACTTCAGATTAAAAAACTAATAAGAAAAATTAACTTTCTTTAAGAATTATGAAATTAAAAAAATATACTTTATACAGAAGTACTTTGTTTTGGTCTTTTGAACTCTATTATTATTTCATAATTTTCAACTTGGCAACAACTGGTGGCCCAAAAAAAAGTGACGCATTTTTAACTGACGCCGCTTTTACGGAATAGTACCGATATTTCTAATGTCAAGAATCTTACAGATTGGTGTATAGCTGCAGAATTTGCGGCATACTTGAATTCTGAAAGCATGATAAAAAAAGGCAGCCCCCAAAAGAATCCGATAGCAACTTCATATTACACCAAACTCGAGAAAACTATTGGAAGGAATCATCCTATATTGTTTTGTCCCCCTATACCCCACATCTTTGATTTTATGCCATGGTTTCCAGGACTTCTGAATTATATATTTCTTCAGAGATCAAATTGTTCAGAGGTAGTGCTCGCCTTCAGATGATTAGCTTTGGCATCATCAATTACCCAGAATCGCATGAAATGTAATCAGAATACGCAACTTACACTTACTTGAGAAGATGTGAAGACAATCGTGATCATTCAGGCAACGCTGTGGAGTGAATCCGGGATAAAAAAGATTACAATGATGAGTAACCACATTCCAAGCCTTTCAGTAAGAAGAGTGTGAGGATTTTAATCTGGTAACTTTCTTCAGCAGCAATGTATCTATTAGCGCTGTTGAGTAAACTCCCTGGCATGTGATGTTTCCTGGAGTCATTTGGCACCTTCTTTGCTGTTAATGATGGTTCTCTTATTTTATCGAATTTTGCTCTGAGAAAAATCTATTGAAAGGAAATTTTATCAATTAGGGTTCTAATAAATGATATACATCATTTTGAATTTCAGACTTCATAGGCTAAAGAAGTCACATGCAGATAATTTTCTGAAAATAAAAATAACTAATGTATAAAAAATATCTGAAAGCTTTCACATTTTATATTACGCCAAAAAAGATGTTTTTAAACGTTTTGTGTGTTACCTTTATTGATTAAATATCCTGTCCTTCCCACCTAAAAGACATAAAAATCAATTCAACAGCAGAGTCACAAAATAATTTAAAAACAGCATATCTTTAGAAAATCCCATAGAAAGTAGTCTTCCGCGCCAGAGATAAAAATGTTCCCCTCCCGTACAGTGTTGCCATTGCTCTCTTTGAAATCGTTGAGTTTGCTAATAAAACATTCATTAAAGTTTTACAAAATTTGAAATAGTTAATAAAACAAATTCGAAATACAAAATTCGGGCTTCCAAGTGCCCGTGTTCGGTTGGAGGACTAAGTTATTCAAAAGTGGACGGCTCTAGGTGCCGTTGTTTTTTCACCATGCCAGAAACATTCATGCAGATTCTTCTTCCTGTTGCTCCTCTTCATGCTCCTCCACCTGCTGCTCCTCTCCATGCTGCTCTTCCTCGTGCAGCTCCTCCTCATGCTGCTCCTCCTGCTGCTCCTCCTCATCATGAGGAGGAGCAGCATGAACAGGAGCAGCAGGCGGAGGAGCAACATGAAGCGGAGCAACATGAAGAGGAGCAGCATGAAGAGGAGCAGCATGAGAAGGAGCAACATGAAGAGGAGCAGCATGAAGAGGAGCAGCATGTGAAGGAGCAACATGAAGAGGAGCAGCAATAGGAGGAGCAGCATGAGGAGGAGCAGCACGAGGAGAAGCAGCATGAGGAGGAACAGCAGGAAGAGGAGCAGCAAGACTAGGAGCAGCAGGAGGAGGAGCAGCAAGAGGAGGAAATCATGTATCCTGAATCGGCGCCGTCCCGTTAAAAAGGATTCTACCGTGCTTGTCAAACTATTATAAGTTATTCGTTTCATCAACAGATTTGTAAATGTTCTTCCAAAAATTCATTCAGTTTTCTTAAGATGTATTGAGTAAGTTATAACATTATCACTTATTAAATTTAAGATAAAAATGTAGTATACACTACTATTGTAGAGACATTAGGTAATTTGGAAGCAGGAAAGGTTAAAAATTAACAACGCCTTCGCCGGGAATCGAACTACGGAGCTCTGAAATACCGGCCCAGCGTGCAGAACCACTATACCACGGAGGCACGCTAGGAAGGCAGGAGAAATACCTTACATACCCCCCCTTTTAAAGGGCGACTGGGGTTTTAGGGGACCCAGTTGCCAAATCCTGGGTGTGGAGAGTCATCATCCACAACTCTTTTAGTTCGGGCGTCACTATAGAGACATTATGTAATTTTTTTAAAGCCGGAAAGAAGAGAAAAATGAGCAAATGCCTTCGCCGGAAATCGAACCACGGACCTCTGGAATACCGGCCCAGGGTGCAGAATCACTACACCACGAAGGCACGCTAGGAAGGCAGGAGAAATACCTTACACTATGTTCACCAGAAAACTTTGTAAAGTCATTAGGTTATTCTGAAAGATGAGACGTGAAAAATGTGCACCGGGACTCGAACCTGGACCTTTCAAATGTGCGACGAGTGTGTTACCGTTACACTATGAAAACATGCTGGAGGGAGAGAGAAAATACACCTTATACACTCCCCCTTTTAAAGGGCGACTGGAGATTAGGTGATCCAATTGCAAAATTTTGGTGGTGAAAAATCATCACCACCACCTTTTTTTTTATTTCGGGGGCCACTGTAAACTCATCAGGTTATTTGAAACAGGAGACATGAAAAAAGAGCAGTGCTTTCGCCGAGACTCAAACTCGTAACCGTCGAAAATGCTTCGAGTGTGCTACCGCTACACCACGAAGGCATGCTGAAAGGAGGGAGATAGATTTGCTAAGGAGCCTTCTATGAAGGGACGGAAAGTTTAAAAGCATACCTTCTCCGGGATTCGAACCCGGCCGTTTGGTATCGCAGTCGGCTCCGCTGACCACTACATTGTCTGAGCGGCACTTTAAGTTTAAAATAAACAAATTATGAAATCTTTCTAGGAAGAAATCTTATTGAGTGATATAGAACTCAAGAATAAATAATGACAGCCTAGTCTCTTAAAACTTTTTGACACATAAATTAAAATACTTATGCTTGCATGTAAATAATTATAAATTTTTTTATAAAAAACCAAAATCTGTAAGCTTTATAGTACTCCCAAAAGGACATTTTTTTTAACATATTGTGTGTTACCTTTATTTATTAAATATCACGTTCTTCGCATTTAAACCACATAAAATTCAATTCAACAGCAATATTACAAAATATTTAAAAGCAGCATATCTTTAGCATTTTCAATAGACAGTCTCACGCGCTAGAGATAATTTTTTCTTTGCCTTATATTTCAGATAACCCTTCGTCAGAATTGTTTACTCAAAAACAGTGGAAAAGACTCATTTTTCTTTTCTTTAAATATCTTCGACTTCGAGAAGTCTTATCACATACTGTTAACGGACTGATATAATCACAGATAATTCTGCGTCAGATTACGTTATAAAATATCAAAAGGTCACACAAGATACACTGCATTTTTTTATAATTTATTAAAAGATTTTGTACTTTGGTAGTATTTCAATTAATTGAAGTTTTTTGGATAAAAACGTCATAGTCCACTATCACAACATGCAGTATATTAAGATACTTTGTTTAAATTATCTTTAAATAACAAGGCAAATAAAGAAACTGACTAAAAAGCTGGATATGGCTGATTTTCGGAGGAGAAATTCAAGGCAATTTTTCTCCACTGTTTCGGCTGATTTAGGTTTTGGTTAACTAACTTTGAAAACAGGAACTTTTGAAATATGTATTAACAATAATAACAGAAAGAAAAAACATTCAGATCTATATTTACACTGCTGGCCACCCAAATTGCAACACCAAGAAAGACAAGAGATATCACAACAAAATTTATTTAGTAGATAACATGTCGACCAAGTATCAACGATTAAATTTATAGACTTCTGGGAAGTGTGGTTCCTTCCAGAATCAGTAGCCAGAGTAGCCGCCATTGTTGGAGATCACCGCTGCCACACGTCTCGGCATTGATTCAGAGAGACTTTGGATGCGTTCTTGGGGTACAGCAGACCAAGCAGCTTCCACACGTTGCCAAAGTTGATCTGGTGTGGCAGCTTGGGATGTAATCTGGGTCAATCGTTCAGCAACTATGGACCACATGTTTTCCATTGACGAAAGATCCGGAGAGCGAGCCGGCCAGGGAAACAATTCAATCTCGCGATTGACGAAGAACCCTTGCACAATGCGTGCGCATTATCCTGTTGAAATATGTCTGTGGGCAAGCCCTGAAGGTAAGGAAGGACAACTGGCTCCAACACCTCGGAGATGTAACGCTGGCGGTTTAAAGTACCGGCAATGCGCACTAGAGGAGTGCGAGATTGATATCCAATACCGCCCCATACCATTATACCCGGTGCAGGACCAGTGCGGTGGTGCATAACGCAGCTGTTCAGCATCCTCTCTCCACGGTGTCTCCAGGCTCGAATTCGACCATCGTGGTGTTGCAGGTAAGCGTGACTCATCTGTAAAGACAATTTCATTCCATTCTGCCGTCCACATCCTTCTTTCATCGCACCATCGGCGGCGGAGACGTCTGTGGTTTTGCGTCAAGGGTAGACGAAGCAATGGACGTCTGGCGGACAGACCACTCTGCTGTAAACGGCGTCGAATGGTACGCGCAGACACTGGATGATGCGTTACAGACTCAGTGTGCTGTACTATGGTTCGTGATGTGATTGAGCGATCCGTCACTGCCATGCGCACAACGTTGCTGTCATCACGTAAAGTGGTGGACTGAGGTGGATGCGATCGAACACGTCGGTCCGTCGTACCCTCCTGCATCCAACGATCACATATCAGCATTACAGTTGCTTGGTTTCGTCCAACACGACTACCGATTTCCCTGAAAGATAATCCACACTCTCGGTAGGCCAGTATCCTTCCTCTGTCGAACTCCGATACTTGATCAAACGATGATCGCTGTTTACTACGAGGCATAATTGATTTTTTTTTTTTCTTTTGAAAAAACCACAAGAAAAACACAATTGCCGAACTTGAAATTGTCGAAAACTCCAAACCTTAAATAGCGCTTTGAAGTGGCGCCACAGGCGCGCGTAATGTCCGTCTGCGCTAAAATTCTAATCATTTGCATATCTCACCTCCGCTAATGCATGTTGTAAATTTCATGTTATTTGCGTGCTTCTTTCAGGGTGTTGCATTTACGGTGGCCAACAGTGTATTTTCTGTTTGAAAACTAAAGAAGACCTAACTAAAGAACCTTAGAAGTTTGCTAAGGAGTCTCCTATGAAGGGGGGACGGACAGTTACAAGCATAGTATCTTCTCCGAGATTCGAACCCAAACCCTTTGGTACCGCAGTAGTCGGTTTCTCTAATCACTACATCGTCTGAGCAGAACTTTAAGTTTAAAATAAACAAACTATGAAATCTTTCTAGGAAGAAATCTTATTAAGTGGTATAGAACTTAAGAATAAATAATGACAGCCTAGTTTCTTAAAAATTTTTGACACATAAATTAAAATACTTATGCTTGCATGTAAATAATTATAAATTTTTTTATAAAAAACAGAATCTGAAAGCTTATAGTACTCCCGAAAAGACTTTTTTTAAAACGTTTGTGTGTTACCTTTATTTATTAAATATCACGTTCTTCGCATTTAAACCACATAAAATTCAATTCAACAGCAATATTACAAAATATTTAAAAGCAGCATATCTTTAGCATTTTCAATAGACAATCTCACGTGCTAGAGATAATTTTTTTTACCATATCTTTCAGATAACACTTCTTTCGGATAACCCTTCGTCAGAATTGTTTACTCAAAAACAGTGGAAACGAT